CCCCCCCCCAAAAAAAAAAAAAAAAAAAAAAAAAAGCCGATGCCCCCCCCTGTTAAACTCGTCTGGAGCCGGAGCTGCTTCCATACATCCTGACTTACCCGTAAAATATTTAACATTTTTCTGCGCACGCTTTCCTTAAACATGAGAGTCCTGACCTTCATCACCCTCCTCTTCCTCCCTCTGGCTCCAGTTCAAACGCAGGACTGATGCCGCGGCATGGTTAAGCATTTTTATTGTATTGATATTTATTAGTAAATATAATCAATAATTTATATGAATCATAATTCATTGATTATTAATACATTCATCATTTAATATAAGTAATCCTTATTTGTTTCCATCAATATTTTTTCATTGGATTTTTTCATGGCTGACAGACAAAACCAAAACAACAAGCGTCGTTTCACTGTGTAGAGATAATAATCCACTGGAGCTACACAGATAAACTTTGATTGATTCATCATCATCATCATTATCATTCTCTGAACGGACTCTGACTCCGGGACTTTTGGCCCTTCTGGCAGCACCTGAACGCATCACCTCTCCAGTTACCGCGGGGTTCGGGAGAGGGGTTCTGGGTTCTGGCTTCGACCCGGAAGAGTTCCTCTTACGCACGCACACGCATCACAAGGACGCTTTCCTCATCAATCCGGGACCCACCGACACTTAGCGCGCAGTGCGGCGTGGACCGGACCAGACCGAACCGAACCGAATCGGAGCGGGACCGCGACATGACCCTGCAGCTGCCGCCGTGCGTGATAGACTGCGGGACTGGGTGAGGACACCCGCACAGAGGACAGAGTGACATCACGAGAGATAGTTCTGCAGGCGTGTTGTTTTAGGTTCCGTTAAAGGGACAGTAACCAGAATCAGCTGCTAGTGACGTCATTACAACAACAACTAGCTCATTGGTTCAGACTGGTTCTACTGGGTCGGAACCACAGTATTTCCCGGGTATTCAGTTTATTCACTCAAACAATTGAATAAATTCCATAATGAGGTCATAACATGTTTTACCAGATAACAGATCATAACTGCAAAGTTATAGTGAGTGAATCTCCATAGAAGCTGTTTAAAGCTTATAGCTGAACCTGTGAACATAAAATTCCTACATTTTTATTAAGAAAGAAACATCATTCAGTCCTCATACCATCCCAGGACAACACAGACTATGTTGCCTCAGAACAGAAAATCCTACAAATGATCACAAATGTATAAATAAAGCAATTTAATCTTTAATCTTTTTTTAAAGTGGAGATGAGTTTCAACCCTTTTAATCTCGTCGAGCTCATTCCAAACCTTTGGACCCCTCCAAGCAAAAGTTTGTCTTGTAAGACTAAGTCTTTTTCTTTTCTTTTTTCTTTTTTTTACATAGATAAGAAATGTATTCCTAGAGTTATTAGTATGCTGAGGGCCACAAGCTCTCTCAATCCGATTAGTTGTGTTTACAACTTGGAACATCATGCAGGCGTTCGGGGTCACATTTAACCAGAGGAGACGTTTACTGGGACCAGGACACGGCTCGTATTATCTTCCTTTGAAGGATCTCAAGAGATACCTGGGCTAAGTGTTGAACCATATAACATTACAGTAATTAATATGTGGCTCAACGACAGTTTTATAGATAGGGTGTTAAAAAATTTAGGGAAGATTTAAGGACTCGTCTGTGAAGACCCCCAGGAACTTAGTAGACTCGTTTCCAATTTTAAGATTTATATGATCAGTGAGTGATAAAAATTTATTTGGTCTAAACAAAATAACATTTATTTTGCTGATGTGAGAACTAAACCAGGTATTTATTTTCTACAATTCTACACTTACTATTGATTTGCATGTGAAAAAATACAAGTTTGTGTCATCAGCAAAATAACTTTATGAAATATTTTAGAAGAGTTTACAAAGTCATTTATACAAATAATGAAGACCATAATGAATCCTGGGGAACCCCATGTGTGATGTCTCCAATTTGTGGTGATTAATAACTACATAATGATGTCTATCAAAAAGGTAGCTTTTAAACCAGTCATATGCCGTCCTCTAATCCCATCGTGGTGCAGCTTTCCCAGTAATATTTTCAAATCTACAGTGTCGAACCTTAGAAAGGTCCAAGAAATGCCAACGCCATAATCTCCCTGTTCTCGTGCATCTATAATTTTTTCAATAAGGTCCAAAATAGCCAAACAGGTGGAGCTCTGTTTCCTGAATCCATACAGTGAATTTTAAAGAATCAAACATTTATTAAAATATTCAGTTAATCTGCTTTGGACAACTCTTTCAAGAACCTTTGATAAAGTTGGAAGAACAGAAATAGGACGGTAATTGCTAATATCTTTATTTCTAGATTTGTAAATTGGAATGATTGGCATTTGAATTAACTATTGGGTCGAAACCACAGCATTTTAGCTGTTTAGTGGTTCTGCCGGGTTGGAACCACAACCAAAGTCCTCCAGATTTATTCTTAGTAAGCCTTATTTCCTGCTTGTTTTGCTCCAATCAGTGAGTCTGTGTGTTGATTGCTGCTGTCTGTGCTGATCTGCTGCTCTCTCCTTCTGACTGCAGATACACTAAGATCGGCTATGCAGGAAACACGGAGCCACAGTTCATCATGCCGTCCTGTGAGTACCAGCTGAGTCTCCTCAGTTAGTCCCAGTGGTTCTAGTACCACTGGGACAGTCTGCTTCTGCTGAACAGAACCAACCCTGTGCTCCTTTGCGGTCTCCGCCAGGCATCGCCATCAAGGAGTCGGCCAGCATTGGAGAGCAGGCCCAGAGGAGGCTGGCCAGAGGAGTGGACGACCTGGACTTCTACATCGGAGACGAAGCCATTGATAAACCCAACTATGCAACCAAGGTGAGCTAGTGGAGGAGGAAGAGGATGGAAGCTGATCGGGTCAGCAGACTGATGCTGCTGTCGGTTTGCTGTTCAGTGGCCCATCCGTCATGGGATGGTGGAGGACTGGGATCTGATGGAGAAGTTCATGGAGCAGGTCATCTTCAAGTACCTGAGGGCTGAGCCAGAGGACCACAGCTTCCTGATGGTACAGACTCTGTGTGATGTCAACACAACTGCAATATGAAAGTAATTAAGACAGGCTGATCCAACACCAGAATCTAAAACTAGCTGCCTTACAGTCCTTGAATGTTTTATACAAGAGTGAAATCTTACATCAGAGCGCCTTACTTATCTACAGGAATTACAAGTTTTACATAGTGACACAAACATCTGTCCCTCCCTTTCTGAAATGGGGGTTCGGTTTACGATCCAGAAGCAAATCACAACCAGTCAGGTGTCTGAAGACTGAACCCAGCAAGAGTCACCTTAACATTCAGGAGTTGAGCATCAGGAAGGGTTCAAGGCCATGAGGACACCGGTCAATGATGAGGCTTAGACATGTTGATGTTCAGCTGGGTGTCCACAGATCCAGAAGGGTTCATTGTTCTAAGAAAGGTTTGAGGTTTTCCACTATGCCATTCAGACACTGCAGCAAGTTTCAAGGTGACTCCTGGGTCTCCCAGAGGCCAGCAGGGGGAGCTCTGGGCATTAATGAAAACTACCAGGTTCCCTCCTGAGGGATACAGTGAGTTCTCAAGGATCCAAAGGGAAGCCGCTCCAAAGGCCATGTGAAGAACATGCTGGGTTGTAATGGGTGTTAATGAAAGTCAGCTTCCTGGAAATGTAAAATAAATATTCCTGAAGAAGCTGAGAATGTGATGGCTGTAGCATCTGTTGTTCAGGGATTTCTACAGTCTGGTGTCGGTACGGTCTACGTCGTTGTGTCGGTATGGTCTATGTTATGGTGTTATTATAGTCTGTGTTCATGTATCAGTACAATCTACATTCTGGCGACAGAACAGTCTATGTTGTGATTTTCAGCAGAAGGTTAATGGCAGTGTCTCCTGTCCAGGTAGGAAGGTCTCTAAAGAGGCAAAAGGTGAGTGGATGTTTTCTTCTTCTTGTTCTCACCTCTGTGTGTGTTTGGGTCTACCTGAGCAGACAGAGCCTCCTCTCAACACTCCTGAAAACAGAGAGTACATGGCTGAGATCATGTTTGAGACCTTTAACGTACCTGGGCTCTACATTGCAGTGCAGGTGAGAGCCACCTGAGCGTCCCAGGATGCTGCAGACCTCCCTTGCTAACTGTGTTCCTCCCGCAGGCGGTGCTGGCCCTGGCGGCATCCTGGACATCTCGCCAGGTGGGACAGCGGACCCTTACCGGCATCGTGATCGACAGTGGAGATGGAGTGACACACGCCATTCCTGTGGTGAGAGCTGCACTGACCTTCAATGGCTATTCTGCGGCGGACGTTGCTCACTGATTGGTTGTCTGCGGCAGGCCGAGGGTTACGTGATTGGAAGCTGTATAAAACACATCCCCATCGCAGGGCGGGACATCACCTTCTTCATCCAGCAGCTGCTCAGGGACAGAGAGGCGGGCATTCCTCCGGAGCAGTCACTGGAGACCGCCAAAGCCATCAAGGTGTTTCTCTGTTGTTCCTCGCTGTCTTCTTCTGTTTCCTCTGCTGCTCACCACGTTTTACCCTTGTATCTAGGAGCGGTACTGCTACATCTGTCCCGATATCGTGAGGGAGTTCGCTAAGTATGACTCCGATCCTGGGAAGTGGATCAAGCAGTTCCAAGGAATTAACGCAGTCACCAAGACCCCCTTCCACATTGACGTGGGCTATGAACGCTTCCTTGGGCCCGAGATCTTCTTCCATCCCGAGGTCCCAGAACCAACTCACACGTCACATCTCACATAGAAACACAATCAGAATAATCAACCCATAATTCAAACTCAGGTACATTCATCCCAACTGATCCTAGTTATCAATCAATGCATCAAGTTCAGAGGAAAGTAGATGGGGTGTCTGCCTCAGTAAACGGGGATGGAAGGATCTGCCTCCCTTTCTCCCTCTAGAATCTGCAGGAATCCAGTGCCGTGCAGTCAAGTGAAGCATTGCCTCACCTGTAATCCTTGCAAGTAAAATAGGTGCATGAGAAGTAAAGTAGATACCAACAATGATGAAAGAATAGCAATCTGTCCACTTGGCTTTTCTTTAAATTAGTTTTTTTTTATTGGCAATATCAACATTTTTATTATCAAAGTTGCTGAATTTCTGCATTGCCTGTTGAAATACATGACAGAAGTCTTCACCCGGACTTCTGTCCGAGGTGTCAGAAGTCCAGACCTCTAGGGGCGCTGTGTGACACAAAGTGAATGAAGCAAGCAGTTTTGCATGCTTATCGTTGGTCTCTTCATATCACAATATACTATTTTAATTACATGTTCTACATTTGCTGATGTACCACAGTTTTACTCAATTTTTACTAAATTAAAGCTCAGCTTCAACAGGTTGGACTTTGGTTTAAAGTGTTGGCTGACGTTAATTTTAAGCTAATTTCAATATTTTTTCCATGTTTTCCAGTTTGCCAACCCAGATTTTATGCAGTCCATCTCTGATGTCATCGATGAGGTCATTCAAAGCTGTCCGATCGATGTGAGGCGGCCGCTCTACAAGGTGAGTCTAAGCCAGGGGTGGGCAGCTCCAGGCCTGGAGGGTCTCCTGTAACCTTTAGATGTGTCTCTACTTCAACACACCTGAGTCAAATAATGAGTCGTTAGCAGGACTCTGGAGAACCTGGCTGCACTGAGGAGGAGATTCAGCTGCTGGATCCAGGTGTGTTGGACCAGGGAGACATTAAGAGCTGCAGGACTCCGGCCCTCCAGGTAGTGATGGGTAAATGAAGCCTCATGAAGCAACGAACCTTTCCAGCCCTTTGCTTTGCAAAAAGGTTCCTTACTCGATGCTTCATTCATTGCTCTCTAGTGACATCTGCTGGTGAAACTGTAACAGCCTTGTCACTCAGGTGGATCATACTTCCAAAAGTTACAAAATGCAATATTGTCACAAAGTTTTCATCAAACTCATGTTTAGTAACAAGAGAACCAATGAAACCATATTTAATTGTCATATGTTTTTTAAAATGATTTGTCGCCAATCTAATCCTGGTTTATGTTGAACGTTAGTGGTTGTGTCGGGTTTTCTTTTATGTCATAGACGGATTTGACAAAGACATTTGATGTTTTAATGTCTTGGGAGTGCAGTGTCTGTTGGGACGTTCGCTTCTTCTTGGATTTCTAATTGGCTCTGATCCCTCATATTTGGCTACATGTTGAATTTTAGTTCTGCAACAAGTTTAAATCTGTTTCTGCTGTGCAAGACTGATATATCTTTGCTAATCAGACTACAAATAATAGTGGAACTTTGCAGAAGGTGAGAAATTGGGAGGTGGAGGATTAATTATTGTTATCTAAGAAGAATTTTATTGTGAGGATAATCTCAAAGAATTCTCAGATGTCAGATATTTTCCTCTTGCTGGCTCCATTTCAGACAATCAAGTTTATTTGTGTAGCAGGTTTCAGCAACAATTCAGTTCAAAGAGATTTACATCATAAAATCACAAAAATATAGTTATTAAAAAAACAACATGATCTACAATTGAGAAAACCAGTAACAAACAATACATGTTGATGCGTGCCATGAATACACATCGAATATGTTGGTCAATGTTCATTTTATTTGCCCACTGAAGACAAATATCATCCTCTGATGCGACCAAATGGACAACAACGCTTAAAGCAGCATGGCTCATCGCGCTTTTACTTTGAAAACCGACACGCAAAATGAAGCAGTCACGTGACCCATGCAATGTGAGGCCTCGTTTGTTGCCAGTCACGTGGTTTTCAGCAAGACAACACAAGCCTCGAAGCGGTGCTTCATCGGACACGCCCCCTTTTTACTCGGTACAAGCCTTGAAGCCTGGATTCAGATGGCCCATCACTACCTCCAGGACCAGGACTGCCCAGCCCTGGTCTAAGCACTGTCATTACCTCAAACACAGATGGTTTGGTGGTAAGATGTGTCACTGTGTTGGACTGCTTCCTGCCAGACTAACATAAGTCTGTGCTTCTTCGTTTCCAGAACATTGTTCTGTCCGGAGGCTCCACCATGTTCAGGGACTTTGGGCGGCGGCTGCAGCGAGACCTGAAGAGGACGGCGGACGCCCGGCTGAGGTTGAGCGAGGAGCTGAGCGGAGGACACATCAAGGTCAGAACCGCTGGTCGCCTGCCCTCTTTCTAACTCCTCCTAGTCATCGGCTGTCTGTTAAGGCAGAATGATGCTGCGGGACGTCTGTCTCTGTTCAGTGACTCGGACCATCATCAGCAGAAGCGTGTTGGTTCTGGACCGTGTTTATCTCGGCGTCTCTGTGTTTCTGCAGCCGAAGCCAATGGAGGTCCAGGTGGTGACCCATCACATGCAGCGCTACGCTGTCTGGTTTGGAGGCTCCATGCTGGCGTCCACGGTGAGGATGGACGAACTTCAACTGGTCTGAAGCGATGAGCTCCTCCTGCTGCCCTCATGCTCTGCTGTTGCTTCTGTTCCTGCAGCCCGAGTTCTTCCAGGTCTGTCACTCCAAGAAAGACTACGATGAGATCGGCCCCAGCATCTGTCGACACAACCCCGTCTTCGGCATCATGTCCTGATGGGGCCCACCGCCATGCCTTCTACTCTGCACCGGACACCTAACTGTTAGCTTCGTGTGATTCCTGTGAGCTTGTTAGCATACTGTCTCTGCAGAAAGAAAGAGTTAGCATGTTAGCTAGAAGGCATGATGATCACTCTGCTGCAGCAGAGACTCCATTTTATTTACCCCACAGATAGGGTTAGGGTTAGCCCTAGCTGCCAGCTGCAGCTAGCCCCTCTGTTAGCTGCAGCTGGCTGTTAGCTATTAGCTGTTGCCATCTACCAACTATTGGCCATTGTGAGCTATTAACTGCTGGAAGCTCTTAGTTGTTACCCTATGTGAGCTATTAGCTGCCGCAAACTGTTAGATGTTGTTAGCTGTTAGCTTCTGCTAGCTTTCAGCTGATGGCAACTATTACCTGCTGCCAGCTGTTGTTAGCTACTATTAGTTATTAACTGATACTAGCTATGAACCAGTGTTAGCTTTTAGCTGCGGTTAGCTGATGCTAGTTGTTAGCTGCTATTTGTTCTTAGTTGCTGCTAGCTGATGTTAGCTAGCCTTCATTTCTGATGTAGCGCTGAGGTTTCTTGCTGCAGCCACTTCTTCCTATTTTCTTGTGGTTTCATCGGTCAGTCAGTCGGTCGCGTCCTCTCAGGTGTTTCTCTTGGTTCTAGACCAGCTGCTGAAGCTCGAGATGCCTCAACAGGTGTAACCGAGCCAGAACTGATAAAAGGCCACAGGTTGATCAGTTTCCCTTCTTTCTTCCTGATTCTCTATCATCTATGCATCTGTCAGGCTGCCTGCAGAGCTGCAGATGCTGGGTCCTCTCTGACCACCCTGCTGGCTTCCTGGGGCCCTCCTCCCTCATTTTTGTTCTCTCTAGCAGAGCTCTGGACCTTCAGTCAGCCATATTGGGCTGTGTTCTTTGTCATGAGATGTACACCATCAAGCCTGTGAGACTGCTCCAATGTTTCTACTCAAACTTCTATCTTGGCTGGATGCCTCCATCAGGTTCCTGCACTAATCCTCCACTAGGGGGCGCTGTCCAGTTGGATTCTCCACCCATTTGTAGATGTTTTCTCACCAACATTCTCAGTGAGGTTTTGAACAGATCACCACACTGATGCTGTACTGAAACCACGGCATGCAGAGATGAACCAGAACCAACAGGAGTTTGGACCTGTGTTAAAGGGAGAGTACAAATTTTCTCACCCGATCCTGTTTGTTTTTCTGCTTCACCCACAGCTCTAAGAATCTTTATATTTGTAAAGAAATGAAAACGGACCTTTATGAGAAATTCTAAAGTCAATAAAATTTAAACACTCACTGACGTGTCTGCTGGATTCACTGAAAGGCGTGGTGCGTTCAGGTGCCGTCAGTCAGTCGCTGACACATAGATGAGGCAGTGAGGCCTGACTTCTCTGGGGAAAAAAAAGACAAAATATTTTTTAATCTCAGATTATTTTATTAAGCTTGACATTAAAACTTGACACTCATTGTTGATTTTAGCTGTTCTCTATAAAATAATAGATTAAAATTCTACAGATGGAGAAAACACATGACTTACTGAACAAAAGGTCGCATAGAGAAAGAAACTTTCTATTCATAAATGATCTTTTCATAATGTGTCAGTTTAACACATTATTCATAACATCTACAGCGTTGGCCCTCCATCTTCATCATTTTAATCTCAGCTGCCTTCCTCTGAGGCGCTCTTATTCCTCCATATGGAGGTAAAAGTTGGTTGACTTGTAATTTTATTTATTTTTCGTGATGGAGATGAAGAAAAGCCGAGATATTCTTTTAAAGCACAAGTTATCCATTTACGCATATACACACTTTTATTGTGAAAACGTTAGTCTTATTTTGTCAGCCGGAAGTGATCTCACCGTCAACAAACCGATTCACTGGTTGTTCGTTCACTTTAATAAACCAACGCTTCTTGTTTCTCTTTAATGTATCCGTCTGGGCTTTTCCGAACCGGCATCGAAGTTAAATTATATTCCAGCTACTGCCTCGAATAAAACGTAGCAAGCGGAAGTCGAAGCGTTCCCGCGCAAATGATCATGAGGAAGAAGAAGGTCGGACAGAGATGAGTGAGAGCGGGACTCAGGTGAGCTTGTGATGCGGACAGGTGACCTGGATGTGGAGCTCTCTACATGACCGAGTGTAGAGTCCAGATCGTCTAACACCGGAACTGTGTCTGTTGGCTTTTCAAAATGAAATCCCAACTCCGGTTAGTTGTAGAGCAATTAGTACAGAAAAGATCTACAACTCTGCAAAAAATAAAAATACAAAATATTTTTTCATTTCAGATTATTTGACCAACCTTGACATTAAAACTTGATGTGAAGTTTTAATGGACTGTGACAGTACAAGTCCAGGCCAGGTTCAGCAGTCAGTCTAGCCCTTAGGCTTTTCAAAGTAAAAGTTCATCTCAGGTTTGGTGGTAGTACCCTTTTATCAGTGGTACATTATATATTCTAGTGTTGGTTCAGTCTATGTTCCGGTACCATCCAAGTGTTGGTGTCTCCCTGCAGCTGTTTGCCCGTCTCGAGGCCCGGCGCTGTCTGAAGGACGTTGAGCCTCGGCTGTTTGCCGATGATGGAGGACCTGACCGTGGTACGTAACTCCACCCACTTCTTCTCAGCTGACCAGTAATCAGGCTGTTTCTGACTGTGTGTCTGACTCTGGCAGGGGAGGTGGTGGAGGTGTACGGTCCGGAGGGGACAGGTGAGGTTTCATTGGTTCCACGGGTGCCGCGCCCTGAGCCACTTGAGACCTTTTGTTCTGGTGTCTCCAGGAAAGACGGAGCTGCTCTACCACCTGCTGTGTCGCTGCGTCCTGCCGGAGGCGGCTGGCGGTCTGGAGGTGGACGTCGTCTTTGTGGACACAGACTACAGTCTGGACATGTTCCGGCTGGCCAGTGTTCTGGACAGTCGACTGAACGCAGGTGAAGCTAACGACATCTGCAGGGTTTGAAGACTTCAGATCAGCTAACCGGAACATGACTGGTTCCTTTCTTTCCAGGTGGTTCTGCCGGGTCTGATGATGCGGTTCTGCGCTTGTGTCTGTCTCGCCTCCTGGTGGTCCGCTGCTCCTCTTCTTCCCAGCTCCTCCTCACCCTACACTTCCTGGAGACCACCTTGTCTTCTCGACCCAGAGCAGCGCTCCTTCTCATTGACAGCATCTCGGCGTTCTATTGGTCGGATCGCAGTGAGGGCGGAGCCAGCGTTGCCAAGCAGGAGGAGAAGCTCAGCAGGTGTTCGGAGCTGCTGGGTCGACTGCTCAGGTGGATCCTTCAAGTGGGTTCTTGATGATCTTTAGAGGGTTGAGCTCTGATGGACTATCTGAAGAGCATACTTGTCCATCTGAGCTGGTACACGGAGAGTGGGGGGTTTGGTTCAGTTCTGGGTCACTAGGAGGTTCCAGTGGGTGGAGGACTTGGTGGTGCAGAGGTAAAGCATAGCCCACATACGGAGGCCTTAGTCCTCGTTGTGGACATCACAGGTTCGAGTCCTGGCCTGATTACCTTTGCCGCATTGTCTTGCCCCTCTCTCATTACTGACTGTCCTGTCAGTTCACTGTCAGATAAAGGCCACTAGGGCCAATGAAACAGGTGGAAGGTTCTTCAGCAGGTCCAACTGGACATATAGAAAGTTATCATGTCCTTTAAAAGGCCTGAACAAATTCTGCCAGAACTGAGATGTCATACTGAAAGTTCTTCCCAGGAGATGTTTTGACCAGAGAACAGTCCTCCGGTTTATTTGGTCTTTAGCAGGACTGACCCGTTCAAATCCAGTAGATTCCAGTCCATTGCAGTACATCACTAGCAACCTTGATCAGAAACTCAGATCAGTGACCCTGTCCTGTGATGGTGGCCCAGGTTCATGGTTCTGGAGCTCAGTCCATGACCCGAGGATCCAATGTTCAGTACTGGATCAAGGACCAGATCCAGATGTTCTCCAGACCAGAAACCACTCCATCCGATCAGCTCCAGTAAAACAACACAGTTCTGTTCTTGGGGAGGATGTCCAAGCCTTAGAGTTCAAAGTTCAAGGTTGCATTGGTCAATCATGTGGTTCTGACAGCTGTGGATCAACAGTTGATGTCCTGTTCTGTGGTTCCCCCTCAGGGACTACAGAATCACCATCTTTGCAACCTGCCACCCCATCAGGAGAGGTTCCAATGGACCACCCTCCTCCTCAGAGGCAGACCGGTCCCATCTCTGCCGTGCCTGGCAGCGTCTGGTGACCCATCGGCTGGTGTGCTCCAGACAAGAAGCTCAACATAACCCAGCAAATGGAGACGAAGGGAGCGGAGAGCAGAGGAACTGGCAGGTCTTCACCGTCCACTGCTCCTCCTGGACCGGCACCAAGGGTTCCAGGGTCAGCTCCTTCAGAGTGACGGATGGTGGCGTGGAGTTTATCTGGACCCCCAGACCTCCTCCTGATCTTTCTGCTGTACTTTAAAGACTCACTGTTGATGTTTGTAACTTAATTATGATGACATGTTGGAATTGAATAAAACCAGAGATGGATCAGAATCTGGATCCTCAGATGTTTGGTTTTACCAGTAGAGATAATCAATAGAGATCACTGTAGAAATAATCAGGAAAGATAAGAAGAGATAACCAGAGTAAAAATCAGAATCAGTTTTTAATATTTGTTTCACTGATGAAGGGAACTAACCATCGATCCAGAAGTAATCATACCCTGGTTAAATGATGATTAAACCGGATCGTTAGTACCCGCTTATTACCACACCAACTTTATTTATACAGCACTTTAAAACAACCACAGCTGATACAAAGTGCTGCACATTAAAACACAGCATAACTAAAAAAAAAACCAAAACAACTCTTACAGTTTAAAAACAAACAATTTAAATCTGTATCCTGCTGGAGTTGAAAGCCGAGTAAAATCGATGGTTTTAAGAAGTGGACAGTGAAGGGGCCTCTCTGTCGTTCCATATGGGGCCCCTGGCAGAGAAGCCCTGTCCCCTCTGAGCTTCCTGCTGGACCTCGGTTCCTCCAGGAGCAGCTGATCTGCTGACCTGAGAGACTGATAAGGTATGTAGGGGTCAAGAAGCTCAGAGAGGTAAGCTGGGGCAAGATTATGTAGTGATTTAAAAACAAACATAAGAATTTTAAAATGAATCCTAAAATATACAGGCAGCCAGTGAAGTGAGGCCAGGACAGGGTCAGGGGTCAGGGGTCACCTGCTCCCTGTCGAGTTCCTGTCCTAAGTGGTGCAGCAGCATCTGAACCAGCTGCAGACCTGAGAGCAGCGACTGACTGACTCCCAGATAAAGTGAGTTACAGTAATCCAGTCGAGTCGAAATAAAAGCCTGGATCACTGTTTCAAAATGCTGCCTGGAAAGAAAAGATTTCACTGACGCCAATCGCCTTAAATGATAAAAACTGGACTTAACCATGGCTCTTATTTGGCTGTCCAATTTGAAATCACTGTCCACCTTAAAACCAAGATCTGTAATAACAGGTTTAAAATATACCTCCAAAGGTCCCAGGTCCACAGAGGAGGACTCACAGGAGCCACTGGGTCCAAACACCATCACCTCTGTTTTCTTTTCATTAAATTTAAAAAGTTCAAGGCCAACCAAGCTTTAATGTCACCTAGACATGCCAGGAGATGTTTGATGGAATGGACATCCTTCTGCTTCAGGGGCAAATAAATCTGGCAATCGTCAGCATAACATTGAAAAGAAATCCCATGTTTCCTGAGGACAGAACCCAGAGGCAGTGAATAAAGAGAGAAAAGCAGTGGGCCCAGAATTGAGCCCTGCGGGACACCATAAGGTATTGAAGCAGCAGATGATTCAGAGTCACTAATATTCACTGAAAATGTTCTGTCCTCCAGGTAAGACCTGAACCATTTAAGAACATTGCCACCAATACCTACAACGTGGTGTAATAGCGATATTAAAATGTGGTGGTCTACTGTACCAAAGGCAGCAGTTAGGTCAAGTAAAATCAGAACAACATAATTACCAGAATCACATGCAAGAAGGATGTCATTAAAAACTCTTATTAAAGCAGATTCTGTGCTATGAAGAGTTTTAAAACCTGACTGAAAAACCTCCAGAATGCCATTGTCATCTAAAAACTGTTTCAGTTGACAGTACACAATTTTTTCTAAAACCTTAGAAAGAAAAGGCAGCTTCGAAATAGGCCAATAATTAGCCAGGTATCCAGGTAATAACCAGGCTAGGGCTGTGAACTAGCTGGTTAGTACCTGGTTAGTAGTCTGTTTTTCAACCTGCCACCCTACTTTGCAACTGATAGTTAAATTTTCTGTCTAATTAGGTGGAACTCTGATTTCCTTGTTGCTGAAAATGTGTCATGTTAATAAAACTGCCTGGTTCAACATCTAACAGGACCATATCCAGCCTTCAGTACCGGACCTGAACCCAGTCAGTTGGAACTAGAACTGAACCGAATGACGTAGAACGTTCCTTCTGGACGGATCTGTCCAGTTCCGGTGTTGTGTTTACTGCACGTGCAACTGGAGTCCTGATCCCCCCCGCTTCCGATCCGGTCCAGGTTTCCCTGGTCTGATGACAGCAGCCGCATAACAAGAGCAACCCTCCAACAGATCCCTCCGCGGGGTCACACACACTTTTTACACAACACAAACAAACCAGGCGGTTATGACAGAGAGCTGGGCCATACGGACACTCTGCTGGGCCACAGTCTGTTGGAAGGCTGCCTTCATCCCGGCGCTGGTTCCAGGACGGAGCGGCCACCTGCTGGAGCTGTAGGACAGGTTTTCTGGGATCTACTTCTCCTGCTGGGGCTGACAGGCGGTGCTTCGGTCGCTCCCAAACATGGCCTCCATGACGGAGCGACCACTTCAAGTTTGATTTCTCACTGATTATCTGCGTCCAAACTGCGTGTTTTTCCTTCCACAGCTCACGGGAATGTTTCCACGGAGCAGCTCTGTACGACAGACACCAGAAGCAGATGTTTTCTGTCGCAAAAGTTCGGTGCTGATCACGTCGCTCTAAGTTGACTGAAAACTGGAGAGGAAAAGGAGAACCGCGTCAAATCAGTAAGCAGTCTGTCTCGGTCCTCCTTCCGCTGCTAATTCACCCCGAACCGGGGGCCAAGGCCGGCTGTCTGCGCTCCCTGCCCTGCTGTCAGTAGCCTGCACCGCGCGACAGACAGCCGAGGAGCTAATGCTAATGCTAACGGTGAAGTGAACGGGGAGGCTACCTGCTAACGGCTACACCGACTGTCATTTGCAGCTTGAGTCCGGGCATCCAGGCAGGCTTAACAGGCTGATGCGGTGTGGGAGGCCGCCTACCGGTCTCCCAAAGCCGGCTGCTGTTAGCCGGCTCTAGTTCTCTGACAGTTAGGTGTGTTAGCATGGAACTAGTTGGTTGGTACACAGTTATGGCTCACCTGACCTGGACTTACCTGTCCGAAAGGGCCTCCCTGACCTCTGATAGGTACCAGCTCATCAGATGGAGATACGCATCTGATGAGCTGCGTATCTCATCAGATGCGCAATGGACCCTGGTTCTGAAGGGTCCATTGCTCACTCAGGTAAAGGTTCTGGTATCGTTCTACATGGTTCTGATGTTGGTTCAGAATGTACATGGTTGATTTTAAGTTCTCTAAGGGTCCAACCTTGGATCTAAGATTGGTCAGGTACTGTAGACTTGAGTTCCGGGGTAGAATCTTTGTGGTTCTGATGGATTGGCTGTAGTCCAGTGGTGGTTCTGAGGTTCCTTGGTGTTCAGGTCCAGCACTCAGGTTCTGAGGCAGGGTTCCTCCAGTGATTCTAGACGGCTCTTCTGCTGGAATAGTTGGAGGTCTAAGACATATTTGATGGTTCTGGTCCACTGCTTGTTGTCTGTATAGAGTATAGCAGAATGTGCAGATGATCCACCTGGAGTGGCTCCTGGTTCTCCTATCAAGAACCAGGAGCATTTCTGGTTCTTGATAGGAGAAATGAAAAAAGCCAGAAGATCAAAAAACTTCAAAGAGCTGCAGAAAAACAAACCAAAACTGATCAAAACACAACGAACAACTGGAAATTGAGAAGAAGAAAAAAAAAACGACTAAAAAGACCTATCTAGTGCAGCTCCTGACATCCAGCAGACTTGACTCAAAGAATACAGCAAACCTCAGCTGATGGGACCCATCAGGTCCAACCAGTAGCAGATGTTGGGTTGGTGATCTGGATTAGGGTAATCAAAGGTTCTCCACCACAACAGAACCCTCCCAGACTTTCCTTTATCTGCAGCTCATCATTGGCTGCGCTTCCGCTGCCCATAAAATTGCACTTGGAATAGCAACAATAAATTTACCTAATTTAAACACTGTAGTATCAAAAAACACCCATTTTTCAATAAAAAAAATTTGCGCTAGTATGAGGTAGTTTTTCAAACATATTAAATGGGTGTATATTGTAAAACTGCAATTAATCGCATCATCAGTTTGTACCCAGTACTTTTGTCATTCTGACCTTCTGGGATGATGCCCAGCTTTCTTCAGTAGAGCTCTCACAGCATCAGTTCATGTAAAGTTGATCAATCCAACACGTTGAGTCTGTTAAACCACTGACTACTATTTCCCCAAAAACGCAACATACATAGCGGCTCCTGAGTAGGCGGGGCTTGTTGCTCCACCACCTGAATAAGATGCAGACCTCTCCTCTGATTGACTGATGGATGATGAGCGCCATGGCTGAAGTATTAGTTTATAATTACGTCTATCCATTTCTGCCATGATTTTTGAGAACTTATGGTGTGAACAAGCTTATTCACGCGTGATTTTCAGTGGATTTCTTATTTAATGGACACAATGGAGCAGGACAATTTTATTTTTCTACATTAGCTGAACATAGATTTGTGCACATTTATAATGGAAACCCAGCTAGCATCCCAGTTGCTCCATCTGCTGATGGACAGTGGTTGAAAAGATAGATTAATGGATTTATGGATGGACGTTGATTAACAGATGGATGATGACTGACAGTTGTCCAACTAAAAGAGATGAAATCATATAGAAATAAACATACAAGACACAGAAATTTTCTGAACTAAAATGGTAAAATAATAGGAAAAAAACATTAGTCGTGTGATTCTACAAAAATCCCACCTCTGCTAGGTTGGTTGCTACCAGCTGACACCTGCAGATATTTGATCTTCAGTTAGATGTGTTGGTGTGAACCATTTCTGCTGCCAGACTCCTTATCTCACAAGCTTAGTGTGGCGTCTTCTTGTGGTCAGGGTGGAGTCATGTATGGTAACAGAAAACTTTAACCCTCGTCTGTCTGCTTGTACCTAGAATGCCCTCTGAGGCTCGGGAGCCTCGGGACAGAGGACCCCCCCATCCCCTCACGCGGGCTGGACGCAGCGCTCAGCTGGCCAAAGCTGCAGCCACTAGCTCTGCCACTGAGAAGCGACCCCGCGGGCGGCCTCGGAAGGATGGGAACCACGGCCGCCCAGCGCCTCCTGCTCCTCCTTCACCCAAATCCAAGAAGAAGTAAGTACACCACTAATGATGCATGGTAAATGGCCTGTACTTGTATAGTTCTTTATCATGCCCAGAGGACCCAAAGAGTATATTCATACTATATTCAATCATTCACACACACATTCACACATTAATGGTGGCAAGCTCCGGGACAATTGCCACAGCTGTTGGGAGTGTGACCCAACTCCGTCAGTGTTGGGTCACACTGACGGAGCCATGGCTGCCACACACCAGCACCACTGTGCCCTCTGACCAGGAGGCAAGGCGGGTGAAGTGTCTTGCCCTGGGACAACTTCTTGGGAAACCCTCCACCATTGTCAAATGGAAACACCTGATTGGTACTGGGATTAGTTTGGTCTCGGGTCCGGTTCTGTTCTCTAAACAGAAACTGGTCTATGTTTGGACTATGTATTCACAACATATGGTATGAGATAATATTCATTTGATTCAAAGGGTGTTGATATCTTTCCGCCCCGGGTTCATTTGAAATGTACTCTCTGTTTCACTTGAATTTGGCTGAGCGAGAGCCCCCTAGACCATGAACTTGCTCTAGTACCAGCACCACGAGGAAGTAGGTGTTAACAGTTGGCAAATGTTAGCTAGAGAACGGACATTAGTAGATGTTTTCCAGTTTGCAGTCCCTCGTCACGGAGCAGACATTAGACAGCGAGCGAATATTAGCCTAGGAGCGCAGAGAATGCTGGTCAGTGAACAGATGTTAGTGGACGTCACTTCATCCATGGAGCGGACATCGGAATGGAGAGGAGTGTAGTATAGGCAGGATACGAACATTACTGGATGTCATCCAGGGAATGGCCACTAGGCAGGGAGCACATGATAACAGACGATAGCAGACTCTGCCTAGAGAGCAGAAATCAGACGCTGGCCATGGAGTCCCCACTGCTACAATTTCAGAAGCCCACCTGGAAGGTTAATTTTATCTGCATCTCTGGTAAATCCTATAGAGAGCCACTGCACTGCCAACTAATACATCAGGGATGCTGGGCTGGATGAGAAATGGGAAAGAAATTCTTAGAGAAGATTGTGCGATGTTGTGGAGTTACTCTAGTGAACGAGGTGGGAAAGGAGATAGAAAACGGAATAAATAATTTAGCACTGAATCAAGCCATCCGTATCGTCTGATCAGTTATTGCTGCTATTCAGGTATTGATGTCTAAGCAACAATACCTCTGATGTTTTTCAGGCTGAACTAGGGTGCAAACTGAGCAGGCTTAACTTAGTCCGGTCTGGGTCTGTTTAGTCTGGCTTTAAGCAAGGTACTAACACCTAGGGTCCTCACAGATATACGACTGTACCTAAAAGTATGTTTGTGGTTAGAATGTCAGGAGGAAGTGGTAAGGGGCATGATGGTAAAATGGGCATCGGGGTGAGCAGTGGACTTAGCTCCTGGGTTTACTTCCTACCATACACAGACTGTGATGTCATTCTGCTCATGTTCTTGAAGTGTTTCTGAATGAGAGTAGAACCAGGTTTCCAGCAGCAATTGCATAAATATCAACAATTCCTGTTGGCTTGTGTTCCTGCAGGGGGCGAAGCCGAGGAAGAGCCCAGGTAGAGGGTGAAGAAAGCACGGGGACTACAGAGAAGAGGCGACTCCAGAAGAAGACAGGTGGGCCTTAATGACAAATCAGAGCTCCGCCCACAGGAACTCATTAGTTCTCAGGAGGTCCTACAAAAAACTCAGCTTCATTTTCTGATTGACTCAAACTTAGCTGCTCTCTGACATCACCGAGCTTCTTCTGAATTTTGCACTCTCCAATGAATCCTCTGTTTGATCTCCACAGAGCCCAAGGAGCCCTCGGAGGCCAAGGGATCGCAGGAGCCCCAGGAGCCCTCAGAGGCTAAGGAGCCCATGGAACCCAAGGAGCACAATCAACTGCTGGAGCCCAAGGAGTCCCTGAAACCACCAGAGCTCAAGGGACCGCGGGAGGCCAAGGAGCCCACGAAGCTGCTGGAGCCACCAGAGGCCAAGGAGCCCATGGGGCCTAAGAAGCTTGTGGGGTCCCGGAGGTCCATCTCCAGGCAGAAGTCCCAGAAAAACCCTGATCCAGACCTTGAACTGAGCCAGGTTGGGCTCAGTGCCTGTCCTGAACCAGCTCCTGATCCCAGAGTCCCAAAGTGCAGCTCAAAACCAGCCCCTGTTTCTGAGGAGGAAGACAGAACCAGAACTGGTCCTGTTACTGTTGACCTGTTATCGCAATACGTCCCTGTGGAGGATGCTCAGGTCTGCGCCCCAGAACCGGTGGAACCTACCCACAGCCCCACCCCTACGGAGAGCAGCTGTCCCAGTAGGGTTTCCATGGACACCAAGGAGGGCTGTGGTGTCAATCCGGTGCAGCAGAATCCAGACCTGAGTCCCCACTCCAGTCCTTCGGTGTCCCTTTGCCTGGAGGATGAGGATGAGAGCTCCCTTTCCCCCCTGTTCCAGCACTCCCCATCAGAGGAATCAGGGGGCTCACCCGCCCCAACCCTGGGACATGCCAAGAAACGGTGAGTCTGGGTGTTCCCATGGAAACACTCCTCCTCAGGCCTCCGCTGCTACTGATTGGCTTGTCATGTTGGGAGAGCTGTGGAGAACCTTCTGAATGGTTTCAGAGCAAATATTCCCTGGGCTAAGCATAATTAGATGACCTGTTGCCATGGGCAATGTCAAATTTATTTATATAGCACTTTAAAACGGGTATAAAACTGCACCAAAGTGCTGTACAAGAACGACAACACAAATGACAAAACAGAGCACAAAACAATACATCAATTAAATGCCAAAGAGTAAAAATGAGTTTTAAGAAGTGATTTAAAATGATCCAGGCTGTGGGCAGATCTAATCTGGAAAGGTAAGTAACTCCATAAAACAGGAGCAGCAACAGAAAAAGCTCGATTTCCTTTCCTCTTAAGTCAAATCCAAGGAACTGTCAGTAATAACTGATTATTTGATCGTAAAGTTCTGGACACAGACTGGAAATTTAAAAGGTCCCGAAGATAAGGGGGGCTAACCCATTTAAAACTTTATAAGTTAACAAAAGAATCTTAAAATCTATTCGATAAAAGACGGGCAGCCAGTGTAAAGATGCCATAGTTGGCCTTATATGGTCATGCTTCCTGGTTCCTGTAAGAAGCCGTGCTGCTGCGTTCTGGATCATTTGAAGTCGCTGAATCTGTGAATCTGTGGTCACACAGGACCCGCCTGAGTTAGGGTTCACCTGTCCTATTCACCTGTCCTCCTGCAGGCTGAAGCAATGTGCCTTCTGTTACCGCGGCGACCAGCCTCCTCTGGGCCAGGGTCGCCTTGTGGTGTTTGGTCCAACGCCAGGCTACATCCCGCTCCACATCCTGAACCGCCGCACCTCCTCTGATCGTGTCGATGACTGCCATGACCACTGCTACCGTGGAGACAGGGCCCCGCCCACGTATGTGACCTCACTTCCTGTTCAGAGATAGAGAGGAAGAAACTGTTGGTTTGAAAAGATGAGGCTGACCAGCTGATCTGTTTGTTGTCAGGTGCAGCAGCCCAGCACTGTGTGGTGAGTACTGGTGCACCTGATCTCCAGGTGATCACCTGATGTTAGATTTCCGGGTGATCACCTGGAGATCACCCAGTGATCCACCATCAGGTGATCACCTGGTGATGGGCTGCAGGTCAGTCACGGTCCCTCTGTGTTTCAGAAGATGAATCTTCTTCAGAGTTCATGCGGCAGCTCGGACCCATCGGCCTTCCACACGACATCAACGTCCAATCACTGTTTGACCCCACAGGTAACCCTTCCTCCTTTTCCTTCTCTTCCTCCGTATACATGTGCTTACCTGGCTCTGTGTGCAGGTCAGTGCTGTGCTCACCTGCAGTGTGCCGCCTGGTCAGAAGGTGTGCGGCATGGCGATGGCCAGTCGTTGCTCTTTGTGGACAAAGCCATCGACTCAGGAAGCAGCCAGGTGAGTTTCTGACCAGAAATTGTCTGGGGGGTTGATGGATGAAGAGCACAGCCTTCTGCCTGGGTGTCCAGGTGTTTTCAGGTCTTCAGAAACTCTGATGCTGAACGGGCTCTTGGCTCAGATCCAGTTGAACTCTGGAACCCATCAGTCAAATTAATAAGCCCCGCCCCCTGTCTCATTTGTCCAGGTATGTGGGTTCTGCCAACGCCTGGGTGCTTCACTACGTTGCCAGGAGACGGGATGTGGGCGGAGCTACCACTTTCCCTGTGCTGCTGCCGCTGGCGCTCATCAGGACTGGACCCGAAGGCTTACGCTGTGCCCGACACACGCCCGTCCAGGTGGGGGAACACAGAACTCTGCCTCCTCCCACTTCGCCCCTCTGTTGCCATGGAAACATACTAACCTCTGTCTACACAGGCTCCTCGAGGTGTTTGTCATGTTTGGGCGGAACCGAATCCAGCAACTTGTTGATGTGCTGTTGCTGCGGTAGCTGTTACCATGGCAGCTGCCTGGAGCCAGCTCTCACCCCATCCCCTCTGGTCCGGTCCGGGTGGCAGTGTCCCGCCTGCAGGGTGTGTCGCAGCTGCAGGTGACAGAGCTTCTGACTGAACTAGTACCTGACTGTGGAGCACCACTGTTGGTTGGACTCAGGTTCAGCAGGTCAGAGGTCATCCTGTCGGTCCTGACCAGCTCTCTGTGTGTGTGTGTCAGGTTACGGGGCGACGAAGGCCTGCTGCTGGTGTGTCAGCGCTGTGATAAGGCCTACCACACACACTGCCTCTCTCCTCCTCTGGACGGCACATCCAACAGCGCTTGGACCTGCAAGGTCAGAAAATCTCTTTTGGGTACAACTGCCCAGGTGTGTTGCTTCTGAACTCAACGTGCCTTTTTTCTCCAGAACTGCAGAGTATGTCGCCGATGTGGTGTGAGATCATCGGGTCAGTGGGCCAATCATCAGTTTTTGTGCGAGTCATGTGACCCTGCCCTGCCCTGTCCTCTCTGTTACTGTGCTGTTGACTTTGCCTCGCCACAGGACAGTCTGACCTGCAGCAGCTGCTACAGGTAAACGTGTTTAGAGGGGGGTTATCCTCTGACTAGAAGCCAGCTTTCAATTTCCTTCAGTGAAGATGGTAAACGAACAACTATCAGGTCTTGCAGCTCTTCAACAGCATGTGACTGAAATGTGTTTTACTTTCCTTCCTCAGTCCTTTGAGTGTTTGATGTTCTCTGTGCTTCAGGTCTGTTCATGCGGAGTGTTCGGACCAGGCTGGGGAACGCACAGCAGAGTCTGACCTCTACCTCTGCTCCTCCTGCAGCCCTTTGGAACAGCAGCTAGCCCCACCCTCTGACACCTCTCTGGCACTTAGTCCACCTGCTGCTCCTGATCCAGGCCAGCTCATCTGCCTGGAGCTACCACCTAGTCCTCTGCAGAATCTGAACTTATCAGAGCTTCAACCTAGTTCCACAACCACTTCTGCAGACCACCCAATAAGTTCTGTAACAAGTGAAAGCATTCCTGGAACGTCTCAGAAGGACCTCAAACTCATTCCTCCACGATCTCCATCGTATCGGAAGGATGGTGTTGCAGTGTCGCTAGAAGTCCTTGAAAGAAGTCCATCTCCACCTACAGGAGATCAGAGGCACACATCATCACCGGAGCAGACTGACCTGTTGTTGTCACCGACTCTCACAAAATACAAACCACCTGTCATATCACCATCCGCCTTCATTCAGAGTCTGGAGCAAGCTGCAGCCGATCCCCACCGCAGCCCTGCGTCCCCTCCAGCCGAGCCAAACTGCATCCCTGCGTCCCCTCCAGCCGAGCCAAACTGCATCCCTGCGTCCCCTCCAGCTGAGCCCCACCGCAGCCCTGCGTCCCCTCCAACCGAGCCCCACCGCAGCCCTGCGTCCCCTCCAGCCGAGCCCCAGCGGAGTCCTACGTCCCCTCCAGCCGAGACCCATAAGGTTCTTGTTGAGACTCTGAGTACTGCTTCACCTTCTTCCGAGACCCATCAGAGTCCATCAACACCTCCAGAGGAGACGCATAAGGTTCCTACTATGCCTCCAAGTGAGACCCTTCAGATTCCTGCATCATCTTCATTAGAGATCCATGAGAGTCCATCAACAGCTCCAGCCATGATCCATGAGAGTTCTGTAAGAACTCCTGGTGAGACCCATCAGAGTCCATCATCAACACCCTCAACCGAGACCCATCAGAATTCTGTATCACCTCCAGTGGTACATCAGAGTTATGAGGGGACCTATCAGAGTTCTGCAGCCCTTCCAGCAGGGATCAATCAACTCTTACCAGAAGAAGCTGAAGTCTCTGGTGAATTTTCTCTAAAGATGGCAGAAAGTCCTTCCTCCACTATAGAGGAGCCCCTTAAGAATCATGTAGTAGAGAACTCAAGCATTGTCCTAATTCATCTTCCACTCATCCTGTATCAGAGCCCTTCAGTACCTCAACAGGAGGCCCATCGGAGTGTTGCAGTACCAGCAGATGATTTTCCTCAGACTTCTACTACACTTCCTACACCAATTCTAGAGGACAGCCATCCAAATCTTGGATCATCTCCAGAGCAGAGCCACCAAAGTCCCTTATGCCTTGTACAAGATCCTGATAAAAATGATGCATCGTCTCTAGAAGAGACCCATAAGAGTCTTCTACCATCTCTAAAGAAGACTCAACCCCATAGAAACCTTGTTCCATCAGCAGATGAGGAGGTTACTGGTCAGGTCCAGCAGGCTTCTTCAGTGGAGACTAAAAACAACCAGGGACCATCTTTAAAAGAGACTTTGTCACCCTCTCTACAGACAACCCATCAAAGTCTGCTGCTTTCTTCTGATCAGCAGATTCCTCCAATGTCTCCCCTAAAGTCTCAGCAACCATCTGTGGAGTCTCCTGGTGAGAAATATGAAACTCCTTTTCCAGCTCCAGAAGGCACCGATCAATCTGATCCACCCCTTAGCCACATGTATACAAGTCCAGAACCATTACTAAAAGGTTCTGCTCCGTCTCCTGGGGAAACTTGCCAGATTCAAGAACATCCTCTGAAGAACTTGGGTGAAGGTTTGGTTCCATATCCAGAGGCCGATCTCCAAAGTCTTGTTACATCTCCTAAAAATCTCAAACAAGATCATCCACCATCTCTTGAAAGGACAGAAGACTGTCCTGAATTAAACCTCGGAAACTTCTCAGAAGTGGCAGCTTTGTTGCTTAAAGAGATCCATCCAAGTTCTGCTGAACTACCACTTCTCCAAGAAAGTAGTGATGGAGATCACCAGGACAGCTTCAGGACAGCACATTGTATGTTGAGCTCAACATTATCTCACCCTGCTTCCATTGACCAACAGTCACCTTCCTCATCACCACACTTTCAGTCAGAAAACCAGGAAAGTGCCCTGCCACACCAACTTGAACCTGAAAGGCCTCCTCAGTGTCAGGCTAGTCCAACAGGATTTGAGTTTGGTCCAGTGTCTTCTTGTCCTAGTCCAACCAAAAGTTCCCTCGTAAAGGTTCTGCAGAGTTCTTCTAAGCTTAGTTTGAACTCTCCTTCTTCTGAACCAGACTTCACAGAGGACCAACTAGGTACTCGATCTCTGCAGGAACATCTGGTTAACAACCCTCAGCCACAGAGTCTGAGTACATCAGGGCTGAGTCCTACCAGGTTTCAACAAGGATACCATCTGGCACCTGAGGCACCGCTACAGAGACCATGCAGTCCAGTAAGCATCATGAACTCCCAGCCCAACCATAAATTGGAAACTAGTACATCTTACCCGCAAACTCCCAGAACACTGGACCACGCAATCACTGGCTCAGACCTTCCACAGAATTTCTGTAGTCTGAACCCTAAATCACCACAGATATCTGGTACATCTACCAAGATGGCACTTGGATCCTATTCAGCTCCTTGTAGCCCTCACTCTCTCCTGGGGAATCCTAGACCCCACAGTTCTTCACAACCTGCAAGTCCAGCTCACTACAAGATGGTCAGGCAAAGTATTGACTCTGGTGGACTGAATCTGGAAGGTATAGAGTTCACCCATGACTCCTCTACAGTGCAATCTGCTGAGAGCTACCGGCCTCACATCCCTGCCCTACAGATGCCAGAAAGCCTTGATAATAGTAGCACTTCTCTTGAACACAGTAGCCTAACTTACTCACCTTGTGTAAACCAGAGTCCTTACAAAAGTCTGTCACCATGCACAAGTGATAGTTCCAAACAAGCTGAGCCAGTGCCTACAATGCCTACAAACCCTGCCTTCTGTCTCAAAGTCTTGCCAATAGAGACTCACCACACACCACAGTCAGCTGGTCTCATACCAGCGAGGTCCACAACACAACAAGATGGCCCAGAGTCTCCATCATTAATTGAAGCACAACTGGCTCAACCTGGTGACTCCATTTCTGGTCAGGGTAAGGATATAGAGCTCCATCCGGATAGACTGCTCCACACTGAGGCCCTTTTTGACTTTGGTCCCACACAAGTCCACAGCTCTACAATGACATCTTCTACCCATACTCTGTCAGCTAGCAGTTCTTTTGCCAACACTCTGACCAGTATTCCCACAAATGGTGTCTCTCCAAGGACTAGTTATGCTGGTCTAGCTAATACTGTTTGTATAGTACAAACACCCGTTAGCCCACTTCAGAGTCCAGCTGTGGATGGGACGGTGCCCCACAGACCCACGTCCAACCCTGGAACCAGTCCCAACCTTTGTCAAGCTCCCTACAGCCTGGGCTCTCTGTCAAATTGGGTTCGGGCTGTTGATCCTCCCATCCAAAGTGCTACTGTTCCCTCTTACTCTGTTCTGGATGCTGGTGCTGTCCAAACAGCAGAACCCAATGAAGGGTCCCAGAGACCTGGTGACCCTGCTCAATCTACTCAAAGCCTTGCCAGTCCTTCAGGCTCTGTCCACCCACAGGTTAGCCCTCCATCTGAAGTATTGACTTCAACGCTTCAGACTCCAGTTAGCTTTGTCAGAACGTCACAAGAATGTTCTGTCCTTGGGGCAGTGGGTTCAGAAAGTCCTCATGCTGGCCCCAGACCAGGTCCTGTGCAACTGAAGCCAAGTTCTGACACAAGTACCATTGGTTCATTGCCTCCAGAGTCTGGTTCTGATTTTGGTCCTGGTCCTGGACAGCTACTGTTCAATCTTGATCCAGGTAACCATGTTCAGCCAGTAGCTTGCTCTGAGCCTAATCTTGATTGTGGTGGTTCTGGTGTGAACTTTAGCCTTATCCCTGAACGGCCTAGTTCTGGACATGGTTGTGGACCTGCTGGAGGTGAGTATCATGGAGAGTCCACTCTGATGGGACATCAGACTGTTTTGTAAACTGGTGGTGTTCCTGCAGCAGAACAGAGGATCGCTGAGGAAGAGCAAGGAGAAGCGGCGATGGAGAGTCCAGAAGATGAGGATGATCCTGCTGAGAAGACTGAGGCACAAGGAGATGAAGATGAGAGTAGCCCAACACTGGGTCCGGTCTGTCCTTCAGGTGAGAACCGAAGTTGTGCTGACATCTATCTCCAGCGGACAAGACTGGTTTACACTGGTTCCAATTGTCCAGATCAGTTCCTATGGTCAAATTTGGGTTGTGCTGTCTCACCTACAGTGTTTCTGGGTTCTGACAGGTCGGTCAAGGGTTGAGTTCTAATTGGTTCTGGTTTTTGTTTCTGTAGGCCCCTCCTTTCCATCAGTCTCCCTGTCCTCCTGTCCTCGCTCTCAGGCCACGGACCCTAGAGGAGACCGTCCTCCATTGACTGAGAGGAGGAATGTGGAGGAAGAGTACAGCCAATCACAGAGCCTGAATAAACTTGTTGCTATGGCAACAGAATCAACCAAAGATGGACAACAGTCCCACTGCGAGCCTTCAGAGAAGCAGGAGATGGGGACGACAGAGAGACACCAGCCAATCAGAGATGAGGAGGCGGGACCAGATGGGGAGGAGACCTCAGATGGCCCCTTTCTGGATCTGGACCAATCCTTGGACATGGAAGTGATGGAGCTGATGACCTCAGCCACACCTCCCACCTCCCGCAGAGGAAAGTGGCGGAGCCTAAGGACCCTCCCTTCCTGGTCCCACCCCTCAGACGACCTGTCCATCCGTCTACGGCAGTCTCCGTTTTCCACAGAGGCGTCTCCCGAGACCTCACCTGCCCGGACCCCGGTCACTCCTCCACCTCTGACTCCACCAACTCCTCCATCCTCCATAGAGACTTCGCCCCCTTCCCAGGTAAGACTCCGGCAGGGCTACTAACATCTCCTGCAGTCTCCACTGGCTGATCTCACTTCATGTCCCTAGGCTCCGCCCACTGCCGTGTTCCTACTGACCCCAAAGATTGGCATGGGAAAGCCCGCCATCTCCAAGAGGAAGTTCTCCCCTGGCAGGGCGCGGTCCCGGCAGGTACCACAGGTCCGATCCGATCAGCAGCCTCGCTCAGAAGCTCGTGGAGCATCAGAGCCTCTGGTTGGAGACCCAGAGCCTCGCCCGGTGGGCTGGAGCATCCCACCCGTCAGGCCTCTCTCCTGTCGGGCAAGATCCTCCTCCCCGTCGGGCCGGAGCCTCTTCCCTGTTGGGCCTCTCGCCCATCAGGCCGGAGTCTCCGATCTGGTGCATGCTGCTTCTTTGTGGCTGCAGCCGTTTAGCATGTCGCTATTTAAACTTTCTGAATGTTTGAGCAGAGTTGCATGTCGTTGTCATGGTAGCGTCTCACATCTTGACAAGGCAGTTTTCTGTTTGTGGCTGTTGCATTTATGTTGCTGCATTTTGTCCCCCTCCACTCTTCCTTTCACTCTTGCCCTCCTACCTGGCCCCTCTGCATGACTCAGGGTTCGTGGTGCAGCAGCCGCAGGGCGCCGAGCCCTCCCTCATCCTCCCAGGATTCCACGGGGGAGGGAGGTTGGAGCCCTAAGCCCCGCCCACCAGACTCTCCTCTGTGGAGCATGAAAGTGGTAAATAAGCGTACCCAGACATGATGGCTTCAGGTTGTCAGGCAGTTGGTTCCAGCAGCAGCAGTTGACCGGCCTGAGGCTGAGAGTGAGGATTTAAATTGAACCAATCAGAAGCTTGCTGCTCCAGCTGAGCCCGCCTCCAGCTGTACATGGCAGTTCTTCTGGTCCAGCTTCTTTCTGGTTCTGGTACCGGTTCTGGTTCACAACCAAACATTCGGCTTCGCTAGAACAAACGGCCTGAAAACCTGAGATGTTCAAAACCTGCTGGTTCTCTTAAATCAGGACTGTAAACCAGTTTCACTCCGGCTTATGATTGCTTTATCATTTTTGTCTTGGATTTAAATTTTTGGACTTTAAATATTTTCTTTTTACCTGAGTTTAAACGGGTCTGGATCCGGTTAGCCACCCAGTTCCAGGGGCCTCATGCATAAAAGAGTGTGCAGTTTTATGTGCACTCCTTTTTGTATGGAGGCCACTAGGCGTACGGACAAATGTAGAAAAGTGCGGCGCACAAAAAAATCTGGATGTATAAAGCCTGCGCACCTTTCCTTTATAAATCCCAATTTAGGAGAAACAGAGCAGCTGCTGCTCCGCCTGCCGCCTCCATGAATACGTCTTAATGTAAATTAGTATAAATACCAGGAAGTCTGCCACCACAGGAAGTAGTAACCATGGCAATGTCCTGTTTGTAGCAGAATAGTATTTGTAATATTTATACTGCTCCATGCACAAATAAATAAAATATTATACATTTTATTTAGAAGGTGTTTTCAGGTCACATAAGGTCACCTCACAAAGATAAAAATAATACATTTTGAAGAAAGAAAAATCCAAATAAAAGAATAAACTAAAGCTGTCCGGGTCAGACCTGCTGCAGCGGCAGAGAATCCGGGTCGGATTACAGACCAGAGAGGCTCTGAATGTGGACGTTTGCTCTGCAGACAGGAATCAGCAGCAGGAGCTGCATTCACAGAGTAGAGATGCTTTCTGTCCATAAGGCGCTTTCACAAAGCGGGCGGCTCCACTGGAGGACGGCTGCAGCTGGACCGGTACCGGTACCGCTGGTACCGCTCTAAGTTCTGCTCAGAGCTCCAGGATGAATCTAAACGCTGATCGACCATCAGATGGATCTGATCTGTGATCAATCCTCCTCTGAATCCCTCAGATGTTCTCCATCAGAGCCAAAGCTCCTCAGGTAGCGGCTCACCTGGATCAGCTGCTGATGGACCTGATCGTCTCCTGATCAGAACCGAACCTGGTGGATCCATCTGCTGATCAGCCTGTTTTCTCTCCAGTCAGAATGAAATGAGCCTCAGATGCTTTCAGACGATGAGTTACAGCTTCATGAGACAAACTGAGGAAGTTATTATTCACGTCAGAGTGAAGTTTTACCTTCCTTTAGTTTCTTTTCTTTATTGTGTGAGTGTTAGCTTACTGTCTGAGGATAAATGTGGTTCAGTTTCATCGTTTAAACACTAAAATATTAAAATCATAAAATCATCAGGTTTGATGCTTCCTGGTCTAAATAACTGAATTAGGTTTCAGTGGATTTATGTGAGTTTTGACTCTTTGTAGTTTATTATTGTTCATAGATAAAGTTTGTGTGGCTGCTGCACATTTTCACACCAGAGAAAAAGTGTGCGTATATTCACGCAAACCTTCATTTTCATGCATGCTGACTTGTAAAATATGGCGCCACACATTTTTTGTGTGTTTG